GTGTTGTAAGACGTATCATTCTGTTGAAAGGTATGCATCCAAATATATTACCACTTGTGCGTGCCTAGTAAAAGTATCAAAAAAAAAAATGATCGAAATCATTTCAAAAATTTCGGATATCTGAAATGATCCATTTCGACTTCATGTATAGTTCTGACAGTTTAAACATAATTTTTATTATTATTTTTTATAATAAAAGTCATCTGGCAGTTCAAAGGTAAATTTATAATCATTTTCATATAAATATCACCTTTGACAATTCGGTTGTGATAATAAAAACACTTCTAATAATTCAGGTGTGACTTTATTAGAAAATATTGCGTCTAAAGTGTCAGAGATAACTTTTATTAGAAAAAATGATAATAAATCTGCTTCTAAAAGTTCAGATTGTATAAAAAAACCGCCTCTGATATTTTGGATATGACTTAATTAGAAAAGTTGAACCTTTCAGAAGTAACTTTTATTATAAAATATAATAATAAAGTTGCATCTGAATTATCAAGCAATTTTTATTATAAAAAATAATAATAAAAGTTTTCTCTAAAAGTTTGGATGCAATAATAAAAGCTGTCTCTAATAGTTCAGATGCAGCTTTATTAGAAAAGGTCACATCTAAACTGTCAGAAGTGATTTTATTATAAAAAATGATAATAGTGTTATATCTAAACTATCAGAAATGATTTATTATAAAAAATAATAATAGTATCATATCCAAATTATCAGGTAATTTTTATTATATAAAATAATAATAAAAGCTGCATCCGAACTGTCAAAGATGACTTATATTATAAAATATGATAATAAAATCGCATTTGAATTGTCGGGTGACTTTTATTATAAATAATAATAATAAAAGTTGCATTTGTACTGTTAGAGGTGACTTTATTATCAATTGCAACACATTATAAATGAAAATTATTTTTATATTAAAATGAATTTCATGTAATTATATTCGTATCATTTCATTTTATTTTTGTTCACTTTTTTTTTATTATACAATATTGATCTAAATTAAGTAATTTAACAGAATATCAAATATATTATCAGGTTTAATCAATTTTTTCATGCTTTAATATTTTTTTTAACATATGGGAGGTGGTCAGTAGAAAAGGGGAGAAATCCAAAATTTTTGTTAATTTAATTATTAAGCTAATTGTGTGTACATGACCATGATCAACCAAATGATCCAATAATATAAATTTTGACCAAAATTTGGATTTTCCCCTTTTCTACTGACCGCCTCCCATATATATAAACTTTCGTTTTAAAAATAAGGTATTTTTTAAGATTTTTTTAAAAGTATGAACAAATACATAGTTATACAACAATAAAATATATGTAAATTTATAAGAGAAAAAGAATTTCTTAAGTTATAAAGGTTGGTTTTCAGATAATTTTTATGTAAAATTCAAAAATCAATTTTTTATAATAAAATAAAATTTTTATTTTTATTTTAATAAAAGTTTTTAGTTTTTAATTTTCTTTCTATTTCATACACTTTAATGTTATTTTAAAAATACTAATATTTATTTTAATTTTTCATTAATAGAAAAATTTGGTATCTTCTAACTTTGAAGTATTTTTTTTTATTATGATGCTAGATGACATGCAATTTTTACTTTATTTTGTTGATAGCATACTTTATGATTAGTGAAATAGGTGGCATTCAAAATCTCAAAGATCAAAATCCCGAAGGGTCATAATCCCGAAGTCATAATCCCGAATGACTATAATCCCAAAGGGTCAAAATCTCGAATAATCATAATCCCAAATGATTATAATCCTGAATATTATATTTTTTTTAAAAAATACAATTTAATTGTTAGCAAATTTGATTTGTATCATTATATTATTATAAATCGAAAATCAAATTAATACATTGGGGTACCCAATACATGACACAATAATAATAAAATTTTTTTAATAATTTTTATTATTGTATCATTTTATATTTTAAAAGCATTAAAAGCAAATATAACTATAAATGTAATTACAAAATTAGAATACTAAAAAATTAAAATTTATAAAGAAATATTATGTGCAATTCCATGAACACAATGTCATTGTGAGGTTTTAGGACAAAGTCCCACAATCTCAATGACTTTGTGTGTTGTGTCCACTCATAATTTGCATATCAATTTTTCTACTATACTAGAACAACTTCTGCATCCTTCAGCTGGCTAAATTCTATATATAATAAAATAAATCGTACAAAAATTAGTATATCAGGAACTGTTTCTGCCTAGTCAGCTCATTAAATAGCTCTACTATACTAGAATAACTTCTATATTCTCTAGCTGACTAAAATATATATTAATTATAAATAAGTCATACAAAAATAATATATCAGGAACTGGTTCTACGCTAATCAGCTTGTTAAATAGCATAATTTTATTTTAAATCATACAAAATAAATCATACAAAAAATTTTTGTCCCAATTCCTCCAATAATAAGTCATACAAAAAATTAAGTCATACAAAAATTTGTAAATAAGTCATACAAAAATTATTTATCCTAACTCCTCTATAATAAATCATACGAAAAATTTATATCAGAATTTATGCTTAATGACTCTCAGAGGTTAGGAAATATAATAAAGATTTTTTGTTTCAATTCCTTATAATAAATCATACGAAAAAATTTTTATCCTAATTCTCGTATCATAAGTCATACAAAAATGTATATCAGGATTATATTTAATAGCTTTCAAAGATCAAAAAATATAATAAAAATATATCATACAAAATTTTGTCCTAAGCCCCCCATCAATAAATCTAACTTATCTCAATGTATTGACCTATTATGATCCTGATCCTGGTTTAAAGCTTTAGCCTGCAATCTATTATAATATTGGATCACATAGTATCCTTTGATATGTGATGGACATTGTCTATAAGCAGAAGCAGTTAGCTTATCGCAATCATAGCAAGATACTCATTTTTTAGCTTTCTAATAAAACTGACATCCTTCAGATCTAATACAAGCTCTCTCACAAGCCTTTCTGGAGTTGCAAAGATAAGAGCATAAACATTTACCAATCATTTTAATAAGAATAGGAATTAATTAATTAAAGAAAAAAGTTATATAAGCAAGTAATAATGCGATGATAATAGTTAACATTATGGTTAGAAAATCTAGAAGTGATAAAAAAGATACAACTTGTAAATGTTGTGGTAAAGTGTGTGCAAATCCAAATAAACTTTGAGAGCATTTTAGATGAAAAAATCTATGCAGACCTCAAACTGATAATTAGCAAGCTATTCAGGAAACCATTCAACCTCCTATTCAGGCGCATATTTAAATATCTATTCAAGTACCACTTCAAGTGCCTGTTCAAAAAGATAACCAACAGCATATTCTAACAACCGAGCCAAAGTCTGTTAAAGTATCTAGTAAAATACCCAATAAAGATACTCTATTCAAAAATCTTGATATTGAATGGAGTTATAAGGAAGTGAAAAGACAATTAATCACTTTTGAAAATTTATAACAGGAAATATGCTGTAGACCTGAGGAGTTTGATAAAAAGCATTTTTACTTAGAGATGAAAAAAGAGGGTGATAAACTATATACAGGTATAATTACATCAAAATGAAGTATATTTTTAAGTTCGGCATTCGAAGGTTTACAACGAGCTATTGATAAAAAAAGAGGACTGGAAGAGGGTTATATAGATAAGAAAGGGATTGTGGCTGAAATTCATAAAGAAATATTTTCAGAAAAAAATAGTGATACTCCTGTTCAAGTACCTATTCAGACTTCTGAAGCAATACAAATCCTTAATAATGAAGAGAATATGCAGAATTGAAGAGAAGAGCAAGCTCTAATCCCAATTCTTGGAAAGGATTATATTACTAAAGAGGAAGCAAAAAGGTGGGTTAATCCAAATGCTCGAAAGCCCAATAAGCATTTTAGAAAGTGGGGGCAAGATTACATAAAAGATAGGTATATGATCTTGGTCTAGAAGATCATAGAAAACTCGAAAACTTGGCTGATTGTCAAACTCTTTGTCATGATCTTGAGCAATATGATAGAGAAGCAGGAAGACTTCCTACAAAAGAAGAATATGAGGAATATCAAAGCTGGAAAACTAATGCAGATCCTAGTTCAGCAACTCAAATCAATAGGGAAAAGGTAAATAACGAAGAATTCAGGTGTTTGAAGTGTATTTCTGAAGAACAAGAAAAAGATCTAGAATTTAGGAAGCAAGAAGAAAGAAACATGACACTTAGAAGAAGAGCTATAGCCGTACATCGCACAAAAGTTCTAAAATCAAATCCTGATAATAGAAGTGACATACGAAAAATGTTAGAGGGTCAAAGAAAGCTATTTAAGGAAGTACTTGAAAAGGAATTTGTTAAGCGTGGACAATTTAAGTTTTCTCTATATTCACTTACCAAATTTTTTATAGATGATAAGCCTAGAAGCGAAAAACAAGAAAAAAAGAATTCACAAACTGATTGGCTTAGAAATAAGCAAATTATAGTTTATAATAGAGCAGAAATAGAAGACTACTTAAGCAATGCCTTTGAACAAATTCTATACCAAGTGGAGGAGAGAGGAGGTAAGTCTAATGTTTAAGTATCCATTGAGGGGGTAATTGCGTATCCTTTACAATTTGAAGTTCTTCTCTTACAAATGAGCGTCTAGGACCATTATAAAGTTTATAGAGAACTGGTTGATTTTCTTTTATTAAATATGATTCAATCATAAAGACTTCAGGAGACTAATTACAATCAGTTGCTCTTTTTTTCTAACCTTCTAATTCACCAGGTTCTAAGAGATGACGAACTTCAGTATAGCTAGATAAAAGTGGTTTATTATAACTAAAGATGATACAGCAATTGATTTCAAATTTACAAAATGTTGCAACATAAGCTAAAATTAGTTGCAACATATGTTGCAACATTATAAGTTGCAATATATATAGGTTAAAACTAATTGCAACGTAAGTTGCAACATTAAAAGTTGCAACATATTAATTACAGTTTCTATCTTTAATTATAACCAACTGGTCTTCTATGTTTGACAGAAGGTCTAGCAATTATTTTTTTGCCTTTTAATACTCTTTTCACAGCCTTATTAGGAGACATCCCTATTAAGCAAGTAGGAGTGTCATTAAAAATATCATCATTTATATGAAGACTTCTAACCCATGTTCTGCATCTTTCAAATAAAGGCAAATGAAAATCCATAGCATCTTATCGAAAATAAGCATGCTTTTCAAAATCTTGATGATCACGTTCAGCAATAGCTACTCCACATTTAGAGTTAGCATACTGAATTTTTACATTATAGCTAAACAATAAATTCTTACATTCGCCTATATATTCAATACCCTTATCTATAATAAAAGTTTCAGGATAAGTATGAGAGCAGTTTGGATCATCGTAAATTTTTTGAATTTTCTTAGCCATTTGTGTAGATGTTTTATCAGTCAAAGCAAAACTACGTCGATATCTAGTTGTAACATCTTTATCACACCTCTATACTTATAAATCTGATTACTTACTTTGTCATAAGGCATAGGTATGTATCAGACTGATGTACTTTATTAAAAATTTGTATATCATTAAAAGAAGCATATTGGATAAACTTTGATCGAGGCATATGAATCTGATGTATAGCTTGTCTCTCAAGCCAATTACATACTTCATTTAAGGTAAAATCGAATCCAGCTTTTTGAGAAGCTTCAAATAATTTTTTTACAGTCCTCTGATAGCCTGAAGGCTGATAATAAATCTTTTGTAAAGCAATAGAAATATCAAGTTTTCGAGCTTTACCTAAATCTATCTGAATAATAGAAATCAGCATTTTTTTCTTCATTATAGCTTATAAAAGTATAATATCATCAGTAAGAAAATCTTTTTTCGAATAATAATGAGAAAAAAGGGAGAAGAATCATGCAATTTTTTCGCAGTCCTTTGATAGCCCGAAGGCTGGTAATAAATCTTTTGCAAATCAATAGATATATCTAAATTTCTAGTTTTATTTGAATCTATTTGTATAATAGGAATCAATGACATAGATCTGGCTTATATTGAAATTCTTGATAAAAATAAAGAGTTGTGAAAAGAATTAGCAGATAAAATAGTCTCAAATAATATTTCTAATAAAAAGCTTAAAACTCTTAACAAGAAGCTAGACGCATACTATAAAACTATATCTCAGCATAATTCAATAATACTAGCCCACAAAGATAAGATAGCATCTCTTAAGTCTAAGATCAAATCTCTTAAACAGAGTCTTCACAAAGCAATACAGGATTTATGACATAAAGGTAATGCTAGTATTACACAAGATATTCATATTTTGAGGTTAGAAGATAAGGTTGATTAGCTTAAAACCTGTATTTATGAAATAACTAGTCTAAGTCATAAAAAAGTTTCAAATAGTAAAGAAATATTAGATATGGAGCATATAATACAAGCTATCTTAGATAGACGATTTGAGGCTTCAGCTTCTTTAGCAAGAATTCAAATACATTTGGACAATAAACGAATTATACTTCCAGATGATATAAGAGGACAATTTGATAGAGTTGGTATATGTTTGGCTAATATTATTACTTATACTGGTACAATTCGTCAGTTTTGGTAAGATCAGAATATGGTAGTAGAACAAAGTGTTTGACGAGCCAGAACTCTAGGGCAACAATTGCAAGAAGTCTGAGCTAGGTCACAAAATGATAATCAAATACTAATACAAGCTCTAAATAATAAAGCAAATGAACGATGAGTATGGTGGCTTAGAACTCAAAGAGCAGAAAGGCGTAACCATATATTATTGCAAGAAATTTTAGCCCTTCGACTAATAAATCGAAGGCATAAAGCTGAAGCAGACTTAGCAGAATTCAATAGAACCTGGGTATTTAACTGATATCAAAAATGGAAAATTCGAGAAATAAATTCCCAGCAAATTATTTTAAATCTACAAAATAATCCGCTTATTAACCCACCAAATATGGCAGAAGCTAAATGTCAACCATTATATAATACAATAGCAACTATTTTTGCTAAACATGAACAATATTCTGGGCAGGAATCTTCTGATGAGTATTTAGATAAAATTTGGAATTCTATATCACATTTAGAGCCAAATATAACAGCACTTGAAAATGCTAACACGAGAGATTTTAATGATGCAATTAAATTTGGTCTTTTAAAATCCAAGTTAGGAGGAAAGTATATACCAGTTCCTAATAATGATCCATATACAGCTACTAATCCTGCTATTAATTCTCCAGCTACTTTATAAACATGGATAAGAGCAAAATAATAGCGTGAAATAATAGGTAGTCAACAAGTGGCCTTTCAGAGATTAACTTAAGAAAGATTTTTAGTTATCGATTCAGCTGATACATATGAAAAAAGAATTCAATCTTTATTATTAGGTATTGCAGATAATGATGCATGAGTTTTAGGATTTTTTAAAAGTCACTTATCAGGTGATCTTTTTACATGAATGAGAATAGCTAATCCTGGTGGTATATATGCATTCTTTATACAATTAAAAGATTTGTAGTTAGAACGTAATAAAAGGCTGACCATACAAAGATTAATTGTCCTGGAGTTAAAAAGACTAAAAAGGTTAATTATGTATACCAAAATGCTGAGAAAGACCCAGTCTCATGAAAACCTGCTGAAGACTCTGAAGAGCCTAAAATAGAATATATACTTGAGGAAGAAATAGAAGAAGATGTCGAATATGTTGATAATAATGAATCTACCTTAAATACTACTGATTGAAACTGCTATGCTGTAAAAAAAAGTGATGCGAAGTGGAATACCTATGAAAAAGATCCACAAGAAGGAATTTCCTACTTCCAAGTCTCGTAAAAAAACAAAACCCTTAGCACCTATAACCATGATTGAAGATTATGTTTTTCTAATAACCTTAAAATCTATATTACATCAGTTGTACAACATATTCCTAAAGAAATTCTTAAGGAAAGCTCTCAATATATTAATATAATATACAGTGAGACCTCTCTAAATGCATCCTTTCTAAATGTACGCATATATATTTTTCTATAAATGCATATTCCACACAGCCCTAAGTATATAAAGATCATACAAAATTTCTCTTTTTAAATGCATACCCTTCTTAAATGTACATTTTTTCAAATTTTGACTATGATCCCAAGGGGGTGCATTTAGAGAGGTCTCACTGTACCCTAAATTGAAAGATCAGATTCTGAATATG